GTTCCGTATCACGAGACTCCACAACGTGTATTCGAAATAGAATTTCGAACCACTACATAACTTTCTGAATACTATGTATATTACATCGTACGAAGTGAAATGTGTTTTGAGAAGCAACAGATGGCAGCTGTGAATACGGTTGGATATAACCCGGAAGCTAGCACCGACTAAAGGAATAAGAGAATAAAGTAGTGCGAGAAAGGCTGTGTCATTCTGTAGCACCACTTATTTCAGTTTGTGTTTTTATAGTTTTTTTGACTAACACGGTCTGTTCTCAAAATATTGCACTTTTTTTATAAAAATTCCAATCCAAGACATTACTATCATTGATAAGTGAAGTTTTACCTATTTCTCTATTGTATTAATTCTAAACTAGTGAATACGTGCGCACGTCGTAAATTATTATTTAAAAAGTGAAAATAGCTTCATATTGAATGCCACCTTCGGTCTCTATCCACTGGACGGTAAAGCAGTATTGGTCACTCATGGCGATTCCATTAACGCGTCAATTTCATTTTACATAGATTTCGTGGTTTTCCTCGATTTTCACATCACATGCCTGCGTGCATGCATGCAGGAAGTAGTTGTACCCAGAAAGCTAAATTTCCAAAATAAAAGAAGGTCAAAGATATTTCATTTTGTAGATAGAATACATGTTTCACTTCCCCCACATGTTTGGCTCCACATTCCCCCCACGTATTACTCGCCTGTTGTCTTGCAAGCTCGTCGTACTTTGAATGTTCCGGCACTTTGCATGTTGCCGAATCTTCCCCGCAAGTTCCTCATATATTTCTCGCGAGTTTAATTCCTTTGCATTTTGCTTATTTCACTTATTCCTTTGCATTTTGATTTTTTCCTTTCCGAGTTAAGCGAATTGAATTACAAATTATATATATATATATATATATATATATATATATATATATATATATATATATATACATACACACACACGTTAATACAACTACATCATTACACCAAATTACGTAAAACTAAGAGAATAATGAAAATATAATATTTCAAAACGTTATATACGAGTTTACTCGTAGTTCAAATTTCTGCATTGAGCTCTAAGTAATGGTCTTTAAAATCAAAAACGCGAATAAACACGTAACAAAAACAGACGCGGGCAATGACAAGGTAATTTATTATCTTAGTAAAGATGGCGAACAATTAAAACGAAATGTGACACATAATTTAATAGAATTAACGAAATAGAGTATTAAATTATTCACATATTCTTATTTGCTGATCTTGGAAGTTGCGGCATGTGCGTACCAGGGTTTCCCATTCCTTTTTCATCTTATTTTAAGCAAATTGTTTGCTTTATCAATCTCTTTACTTTGTCTCTATAACATACATATTGCGTAATCGTGGCACAAAGAATTGCATATAAATGTTTTAAAGATAACAATTTCGTACACCAATATTCTCGTATCTCAATTTTTCAAATATCAATCACGCTTCCACCATTGAGTGGCTGGGTCTTCATTGAAATGCAGTGGGCACAAAATGTTGAGTGTTGTTGAGGAAGTGACCTTTCCTCAAATGCTTTTTGGAAAGGGAGTCTTTCCTTGTACTATAGAGTATCGCGTGAATACATAGTTACAATTTTTGAGTTTTCTAAACACTCTAACTCTTGAGTTTGAATACGAATAAGAAAGAAGAGAAAATTTGTATTTATCATAAGTTTGTTGCTTTATATCAGAAACTGTTAATTAAGAACTTTAATACTTTTTGTAATCAATTGGATAGTGATTATCCTGATAAAACACTAGCAAATATTTGGCTATTGAGCCCCAATGACCTCATAATCTTCACTGACTCCCTTCAAAACACCATCAGCTCTCAGGGCGTCTAGACCTACCCCGTTGGGAATCCCTGTACAAACCATTGACATTTATTTTGAACACATTGTATAACACAAAATTGGTAACATAAACACTGTAAGAACATCCATTTTTCGTCAACTCCATCTTTTCTCTTCTGTTTCTGCCACAGTAAAGGGAATCACCTTCTCCCTAAAAGCGTTGACAGTTTTAAAGGGTTTCAAACAGAATTAGGAAAGGGACTAACGAGAAATAAAAGATAAAGAACAAACGCAGATGAGGGCCCTTTCATCCGTTCGGAAGAAAGGGAAAGGGGACGGAAGATTGCTTTATTTTCCCACAACAAACTAGAGGGAATCTATTGAAACGTAATTTGTGATAATACCGTGGAGATAAACCAAAAAAATCTATTAAATCATGGCTTTGCTAAAAGAAACAAAACTATTCAACCAACACAACTTCCTGTTTTATGTCAAGGATTTTGAGCGACTTTATGAAGAATATTTATGCTTTATTTAATGATCTGCCAGAGAAAAAAAGGTAACATAAGACACAATGTTTGTGACGAGAGTACATGCCGAGTGAACACGGTTTCTGCACTCTTTGAGACACCCCCAAGCAAAATGAGTGTGCACAAATTGAGTGCACTAACGCTGTTACTTAATATTGAGACTTTGTACAGCAGAACTCTTCCGATCAACTATTTTATTAATGATAGAATATTTTTGGTACATAATTTAATGTCCTTAATATGGCACTCCCTATTTAGAACCATTGACATCATGCACAAACATTGACGGCAGTTTTAATCTTTCCAAGATAGTCTTCACTTAATCTTTAACCGAATTTACTAAAATGAAACTACTGACCATATGTGGAAAATCAAACTAATCTTTGAAGCTTATAGTAGTAGTTTCGAGAAATCATTCAAAAACTCATTTCAGCGGTCGCGCAGCCATGTTTACGGATTTTCCTCCGAGACCATTTTTACCCTGCCCATTGTTTTATACTAAATAGAATTTAGTATAAAAGGTACGTACACTGCAATGCCTCAAAGATGGACATGGCCCAGGAGCCAATAACATGTTCTGGCGTCAAAGAGAGCTAATTATGTCGGTTCTCAACCGAACTCTTAGAAACACGATTGAGAGTAAATATCATATTTCCAGAAAAGACATAATTTTGTAGAATTTTTGTCAAAGAAAAAATAACACATGAATGATATTTGAAATTTGTTATTTATTTTCTAAAGTCACATAGGTGACTGATATACCGGAAATTATCAAACTCTTTTAAACAAAAGTACAGTAAATGTGGCACATCTAAAAAATTGAATATTTTAAGAATAGCAAAAATAGGTACAGAAAATGGCATATTTATTGTGATTGATCACTAAGCAGAAGGTGTGTGTATGTAGAGTAAAACACATTGTCGTTGTTTGCGAAATAAAAAGACTGTGCATGAGGGATGGCAATCAACGAGAAAGATGTAACAGATGTCTATCGGCATGATGGGTTTCCCCTCCAGGTGCTCACCCAGAGGAGTACCACATCGGCCTTGCCAAGCTCCTGACTGGGCCTCCCGAAAGGTGTGTGTGTGTGTGTGTGTGTGTGTAAGTGGAGAGGAGGAGAAGGACGTAGGTAAAAGGGACAGATGGCGCGCGGTTCGTGGACTGTTTGTTAAGGTACGGACTGTTTTGGCACTGACCTGGAATATATAGTACGGAAACCTATCGATCAGAGCAGCTGGTCGGTAGAATTCTTCTTCAGACTAGATAAATTCGACTCAGCTCTGTAGCTAGTGCCGGAAATCGGCCACTGACGGGACTCGGGGCCCTGGGACCTCTCCGCCCATGATTCGGGAGAGGCGAGAGTGAAACTGCCGTCCTAACGTAGCCCCTACTGCTCAGAGATGCCAGAGATTGTGTCGAGCAGTAGCTACGTGCCTGACCGGGAGACTGACCGCGTCCCTGGCACGGGTGCCATCAGGGCGAAAATCCTGATGCCGCAATGCCGTAACGGCTGAAACTCCGCCTTTTCGCCACGAGGAAGGTCGCAGAATGGCGGCCGAAACGTTGCCACCTGTGCCTAGTTCGCGGCGTAGCTACGTAGCTACCGTTCAGCTACCGTTCAGCTACGTAGCTACCGACACCGGCCGCGGAAGCCTACGCGCTCTTGGGTCGAGTAGCTTTCCCGTGTCGTAGTGATTGAGCGCTCGCCATTAATTTCGCGATTTGTGGTTGAGTGGTTTGCGTTCTGTTAAACTCCCGCAAGGGGACTCCGCGCGTTCCACTTCAATGGAGAGCTCGCGATGCGCGCGTCACACGCAGTGGAGTAGCATATTCAATGTCCTTCAATGTCCTTCTTCATCATATTCAATGTCCGTCAACATCTTCGAAAACGAGGGATCGCGTCCGCTGGAGTCCAACACAACAATCCGGTAGAAACAATATCGTGTACGACGTTTCATATTCACTTCCAAACATGAAATTTCGTATTATAATAATGCATATTTGTGTATTTACAGCACGTTGGCAAATCAACAAGCATTTCCATCACAATTTCTAAGCAAATGCAACGATATGTAACGTAAACAAACGAAAAATACATGAATATTCGAAGTGAAGTTATTTCGTTACTTTCATCACCTTGCGCCATTTTACTTAACACAGTAATCGGATAGTCTGAATATCCGCGTGACTGTTACAGGTAGAACACTTCCTGCCCATCAATCAGAGCGAGCGCGGCGTCATTCAACACGTCTGTCTATTGTTGGGGAATGTATCACTTTTTTAGGAACATTTACGAACGTTCTAAGAGATTTCTTTAGAAAAAAGGTGTTCTTAGGGGATGTATGAATGTAAATCGCGTTGGGATAAAGGGTTAAGGCACATACAAAAGTGAATATTAGATTATTTGTTTCCTCTCAAGACAAGACAATATTTAATTGGCTGTCCGGGTGACGCTTCGTCTATGGCAAAGGTGCCGACGTTTCGGTCGCCATTCTGCGACCTTCCTCAGGGCTTTATGTCCTGAGTCAATAAACGTCGGCACCTTTGCCACGGACGCGGCGTCACCCGGACAGCCAATTAAATACTGACTCCGGCCGCGTACGGCTACGCTCTCGCAAGACAAGACCAGTTTCAGCCGGGGTGGCTGCAGCCGGAGGACTCACCTGGGAGCGAGCTGGTGCACGAGGACTAGAGCGGGCGCGGCATCGCGGCGGCGTCTGCAACACAGCGACAAGAGCTCTCAGTGGGGCAATGTTCTGCTTGCTCACATTCTACTTACGTACTACAGAGACGGTATTGCAATGCTGCAAAAGGTGTCTTTTTGACAGATCAACCTCGTTTGGCGGGTCACTGATACTCTTTGAGACCGTTGTGTATTTAGAATCCAAGTTTCATTGACTCTTGATATCTAAATATTAGACAGCCGACCGCTAGAATTCTCGTCCAGGCAGAGGCTGAATTCGTCCAAGCTATCTAGTTTGTGTCGAAAGTCTGTCACCATTAGGACCTCTCGGCCAGACTGCAGAGTTGCATAGTCATTGCAGAAAAGGCAGAGTTGCGTAAGAATTAAACCACCCCTGAATGGTCCGCAGATGAGGTTTAATGCCTAGGGCAGGACTTACCGACTGGCGGCCCACCGGATCTTTTTGGGTGTCTCGCAACTGCTTTGAAAAATGTTATTATATATACATATAGCATTTTTAGCTATTCTGTTATGCACTTTTATAGTTAATTAACTTATTATACATGTCGAATAACTCTCCATATTAGTTGTCTACTGAATGTCGTATTTTGTAGAGAGAGTTGATTGACTATAAAATGATTGACAATACATACATTTGTGAGAGTGTTTTTCAATTACGAATTTTATTAAAAAAATACAAGTATCCTCACTGATTCTACACTTGGTCTCTTAATGAGACTGACTATAACGGAGCTGAAACTGGACAGAAATTCGTTGGTGTATGAATATGAACGGCATCAATCTTCTCACAATTCATCTTATTTTTATTTAATGATGTATTAATTTCCCCGTTGTATGTACATTAATCATTACGTTGAACAAAACTCGTATCTAATATACAGTTGTTTCAGTATAACCTCAGTAGTTAGGGAAAAAACATGTTAAATTCGGTGCGGCCTGTGGCTTAACTAGAATTTGATATGGGGCCCATTAGCAAATTATCAAAAATCACCATTATCAAAAAGAAAAATTATATTTATTTTAACAAAACTGTGATATACGATGAATTGGTTTACTTTTGTATTGTAAATTATTTTAAAGACCTAATATGTTTGTAACAAATAATTTGCTTCAGCTTCCGGATCAATGACCCCCATCTCGATCAGGTTTTCGTCCAGTTTCCCTAATCTATTGAGCAAATGCTGAGATGGCCCCTTGTTTTGCTTCTGGACGTAAGTGTAGCTTCGCTATGCGCACGTTTTGTAGCACTCTCCTTTGGTTGTAATAGTAAGAATAGATGTAAGGGCGATTTTCTATTTTGTTAGTAATGCAGCAAAATCATACTTGCAATTCGTGTACCGATGCAAATAAGTTTTCTATAACTCAAACAAAAATGACTATTTTTCAAATATTGCTAATCTTGCGATTTATTTTTAAAATTTATTTTTATTTATTTATGTTAAACTTTTACTCATCTTTCAACTATTTATAGTTAAACTGACACGAAGGAATTCTGAACTGAAGAAAACGTGCGCATATGATCTTGTTCCCCCTACTTCACATACAGTTTTTACTGTTTTGTTTTGACTGAATAAATGTGAAGCCCCTCTAAGTTGGACAGCCCTGGATCCAAGGCCGCAAGGCCATCGCCGCAGGAGACGCGGGCTGTTCAGACGCCACTCCGCGTCCGTCGGGAGTGCACGTCTGCGCAGCGGCACCTGCACCGCCATCCTTGCAACGCACCACACGACCACCCGACCACCCGCTGGGAGCGTGCAGCATCACGTGGCACGAAGTAGTCGTATCGGCATGTGAATCAAATGAAAAAAATGGTTCTCCAAAGATATAATATTCTAACAGTACTGGAAGTTTTAATATTCAGATGTAATATGAGATGTTGCGGTCGCCATCTAGGACTTCGCTACAATACCAAGATAGACGAGTAGAGGACACACGTTGAAGCACAAAATAGTGCTGGGAACCAATACAGGGGAGGGGTCGTTTAATTTTCATGAAATTTGGTATAGAAAGAGTTCGTCTGGAGACACTATATTTATGAAAATAGTGCATTTGCAGATCTCATAGTATAAGAGAAAGTAAATAAAATTAAGTTATAAAAATGTTGACGTTTCTAAAAACTATTAAGCTGTAATACATTGGATAGTGTTGATGATAGTGAATGGTGCAAATAAACAATTCATTATTATTCACTGAAAAGTACCAATGCCGATTGGAGTAAATCAAGAAAGATTGTCTAGTTCATGGGTGTTCAACAGGCAGTCCGCTGTACCGTGTATTGTGGCCCGCGAATGGTTATCAGTGAAAAGTGAAAATATTTCATTCATATGGGGCGTCCACATTGTACGCATAGCACACGCCCCCTGCTGGGTCAACTCTCCCTTTAATATTAAAATAAGTTAAGTTGACATTTATGGAATTTCTTTTGTAAATTTAGAAATTCAAAATAATCCCAATGGGTTTCACTGCGCTATGCATGGTTCCATCCCCCCTTCTTTCCAGAACAGTCGGACGAACTGCTCATCCGAGTAATGAAAATATGGCCCGTAACCATATCAAAGATTTTAGTTGTGGTCCTTGCAAGTTGGATACGCAGTTGATACAAAAGCGGAAGAATTTTGTTGTATTACGTCTATCTATATCAGCCTTCAGGAACTCAAGTTGATCACACAGATATCTGGTCGATCAGTTATCACTGCAATATCTGTACTTATTTAAGAGTGTATGATAGATTTGTTCACAAAAAAGGTAGGGAAACATAATTCTACGCTCAAATAATAGAAAATATTAGCTTGTAAAGTATGAAGTAATCTTAAATAAAATAATATAATTAAATTAATATTTTATAAACAACATTATAATCACTCAAAATAAATCATTCCAATTTTTCGTTCTTATCCATAAAATTTGTTACAGTTGAAAAATAAGATTTTTTTGTTTATAACATTAAAATGTTATTTCTATTTTTTAATAAGGTGATCATTTGAAAATAACTAATCACTTTGTCACTTTGTCGTTCAGTTCACGGAACAGAGAGAAAGCTTCAAGCTGAGTCACTCTGCAGGCGCTGCTAAAATCGAGGTAATTCATTTGTGGGATCTGGCCCTGAAATTATATTGTTTCTACAAGTTTGTAATTCAAGAGTTTGATTACCTTGTAAACAAATATTCTAACTAAACAATGGAAAAGTTACTTAATTATCATTTATTAAAACAATTATTTTTAAAGCAATTAAATTTCTTAAAAATTACCATAATAATAAGAAAAAAGTAATTATTTTTAAACAGAACCTGCAAACAAAATTTAAAAATGAAACTTCAAAATTAAACTTGTTTATAATTTATAATTTTTATTAAAATACACGTTTCAAAAAATAAATATAATTACTTGTTTATCGTAACCAATATAGTAGAAAAATTGGTAGAAAAAAGTGTTTTTTTTGAAAATAGCTCATTACATGAATTCTTGCTATCCTCAAAAACACTGTTTACTTTGATGATGACTGTTGATTACTGAAACTCCGAGTGCAAACAACATGAGACAAACACGCTAAGTGAGTGCTTCCGCGACCGGAGTCGTTGTGGCCTCGGTTGTGTGCATGACGCAGCATTGCGCGTCCTGTACTGCGCAGAAGGAAAACTAGTAGTGCAACACCAACATACTTTCTCGTATGTAAATTATTCTGAACGCGTTTGTAATATTATACAAGGTGAACCAATGCGAAAATTTCATTCATTTAAACTCTATTGGATATTTTTTCTTAGGAAGTGACGGGTTACTTCAAATCACCTTATTCTCCAAACATATGCCTGTGTGAGTTTATCCAACCTGCAAAAAATGTAATAGATAGGTCGGTGTTGGTGGTAGGTACTAGGTATTGGAGTAGGATATGGTGTCTAACGCAGTATCCATTACACCACCACGTTCGTTTGACAGTTCAGCGTCAGAATTATAAAAAAAGTACTTGTCTAATGTTTTCAAGTATTAGATATTTTTCTGAAAATGGCTCACAATCTCAGGGTTTGCGGCGATATACTGACGTTCCGGAGGTTAGAGCAACTTGCCTTGGACCAGGAGACCTGCGTTCGAAATGGCTTGCAACAATTTAAGTCCAGTAAAGTGCACTTAACCCTTAAAAACAAATGAAGAAAAAAGGAACTGTGTTTATGGAAAAAATACATTTTATACATTTATGGTAAATTGCCACAATTTTTCTCGATATTACATAAAAACTACTAAAATTTTAAAAGCAACTTCAGATGAAAGAAAAAACTTAAAGATCCAAAAGTGTAGAATAGATTGTACTAAAAACTCTAACTCATTAATGAAGGTGTAGTACACGTGAAAATATATTTTAAAAGTCATGTTAGCTTATTATGAATTAGCCACAAAAATTAAAGAATATATTTCAAATTTGCAGGGCCTCCAGTTCGTAAGATTAAACCGGGTAGTATTAATTTTGAAGAAAATCCAGTGCGCGTTTGGGCATTAGCTTGTTCACAGACGTTAACAGGGATAGACAGGATGGAAAAGGGACAGACGAACATTCTTGAAAAAAAACAACAAAAAAAACACGTTTTCAATACCAAAGTCCACCAAAACATATTTCTGTCAAAATTTGATAATCAAGTTTTTGGGGTATTACATAACTTTCCCTGTACTGCGTCTACGGGAACGTAAAACAGGTGATATTGACAACGAGACGTAGTAATTTAATCTACAAGCAAAACGCAATTTGCTCTACGTTAAAACCTTGGCTTGGAACCGCCGTAGCTTGGAGACGTTCTTAGAGAAAGCAGTTCCTCGTTCCTGGCACAACAGAAAACCGTAACGAAGATGAAGAGCCATTCTAACGTAGGAGAATGAACTTGTTTCACTGAATTAGAATTCGTCCAAGAACATTATTTAAGAATGGAAGATCTATATCGAAAAGAAATTTTAAAATAAATGAACTAAATGTCATTAGGAGTTGAGACATGGTTAACATCCCTCTCGCCGCAAGGTTATGGTGTCAAA